ACGCTCTTCCGATGTAATATTGAAATATGTCCCCTGACCTGAACCCACTCAATTACCTAGTTCGGGCGGAGCTCAACAGGGTGGTCTACAGTGGCGGAGAAATCAACGATCTCGCTCAACTCCGGTACCCACTCACTTTCGCGCGGCCGAATCTCTCGATGGCGCTCCTCCAGAAGGCTGTGGCGGAGTATCATTATAGTATTTAATGTGCTCTTTAATATGGTAGTAAAAATGTCCGATTTAATAAAGTGTAACTTATAGCGCCTTGAAAGTCATGGAGGCAAAATGACTTTTTTTTGCCCCCCCCTGTATGTGCGTTACAGCGCGTCATCGCAAAGTCTGAACGCTGCCTAGGATCTACACTCCCAGGCTACATTATCGCGTTGAACTAAGAGCACCATGTGGCCCTATGGTTCAAGACGCTGGACATCGTTGCTAGGGATTCCCCAACAGGGTAGGTCGTATTTGTCGCTGGGGGAGGGGCGATGGTAGTGTTCAATCTGAGAAAAAAATTTTTGATAGTTGATTTTTTTTTCTTGTTTCAGAAAGGAAGGGGGGGGGTAACGTTTGCTCATTGTTGGCAAAGGTCTCCCCCTTTCTCCCAACCCGCTCAACAGCAAAATTTTTGGGAAAAATTGGGAAAAACTAAAAAAAGGGTGATTGCAGGGAAATCTAAGGAAGTGGTTAGGATGATGGGGAAGGGGGGTAGGAATTACCTGGAAGGATCAGGGCTCACAATCCATAGTGGGAAACATGACTGGGGTCGTATTTGACTGCCGCAGAGAAGGGCTAGCATTTCGATAACTGCTGTTTAGCGCCGCAGTGCGCAGTCCGAAAGTTATAACTTTCTGACACCCTTTCTTATAATAGACTGTGTCGCAAAGCTACTAATTTTCATAGTAACTAGTCGGTGTCTATGCCCCCCCCCCCGAACACCCGCTCGACGGCGCTAGAAAATACGGAGCTAGTACTTGACGCCGCGCCTCTGTAGGAACGCTCATATCACAGTTCCACACTCCTTATAGGTTCCTGGGTATGTTGGCAAAATTATATCCCTTTTGTCTAAATATATAACTCTAGTAGATTTTTTCACAGCTACTACCTATTTCATCTACAACGCAGACGTGAATTATGACGGCATAAGGAAAACAACCTTGAGTTCGAAGTCATGACACGAGTTCGGTAAATTGCTGAGAATACTGCTGTCTTCATCGTCATCCAATGAACAACCTTCATCAATTTGAGATGAAATGGTTGTGTCTGAATCAAAGTAATCACTAACTTTCTACAATTTTATAAAAACTAGTACTTTGTTTGAGCAGTCCCATAACTTGTGGCGAACTAGTGAACCGCACGAGAAACGTGAAGTAAAATGAAGTTTCCGCCATATTGGGAGTTCACCATGAAAAAAGGAGTTAGGCCACTCTTTAAAAAAATTCATTGAGGGGAG